GGGGGGGGGGAGGGGGGGAGTTAATTTCCACGACAATGATCTTGTATATATTTAAATGTAAATGTGGAGAATAGATTACAAGGCAAAATACAGATAACTGAAACTTACCTGCACTTCTGCTTTCTAGCATTTTAACAATAGACAGCCTTGTGGGAGGTTAAATTACTTGCGAGTCGTCATTACTATCCCTACTTTTAATAGATAAATTCAGAAGCATCAGGTCCTTAAAGGTCAACTAAACTTTGGCCTTAATTCCAACTATTCCTCACATTATTTAAGTATTTCTCATCATATCAGCAATTCAGCTCATTACTATGACTTCACTAATATAAGTAAAATCATGTCTGTAACCATTTAAAGTCAAAATATGAAAAGGGCTGGGAATAAATATATGTTACTGGTGCCAAGGGACATATTATCATGTATATTATCACAAAAATCTTAACACACCTTTGTAAAATATGGAATATCAAGTCCATTGTACCAATGAAAAAATGAGAATTCAGACAGGTGATGCAAACTGCTCCAAGTCTCACAGACATCAAAAGGCTGTGTCAGCCTTTAGGAGTCCCTGTGAATAGCTCCAAAGCCATCTTTACACCATGCTACAGTGAGTCTTGGGGTCACACTACCAAGATCAATTCAAGAAATGTATGATTGTAATCATCATTGAGAACTTAAATTCTCATATAATAATGGCAATTAAAAAGGGGGAGAAAGAGTTCCCCCACACACATGCTGATGCCAAACCACGGCTTCAGACTCCAATGAGAAATATAACTCTTGGGTAAAAAAATAAAAAGTTTCAATATATATGACATGATGGGCTCCTAAACCAGACGTACTTGAATAAGTCCACTTAGTACAGAAAATGATTTATGTGTAGAGGACAAGTAGCTGCTGCTCGATTCAAAATAGTTACCCAGCCACCTGCCCCCTAATTTCCTAGACAAAACTTACTGAGCCACTGGCATAAAGCATCTAACTAATGTGGGCCAGACAGATTTTGTCAGGACCTTGAAATGTGAATGAAGATACAGAGGCTAACAGAAAATGAAAAAATCAAACACACAAAAAGACAGAAAAGAAAGAAAAGAAAAAAAAGATATAGAGACTAAGGTTGCTGAAGCGGAACCATCTTAGAAAGTCCATGAGCTCCTACCCACTGGGCTTTCCAGCGTTTCCCTGGTCCCTCTCCTTCCCCGAGCTGGGTTGTGCAGCCCCGCCTGCTGATTTGTGAGCTTTATCATAATCCCTTCCCAAAGTCCCTTTATTTCTTGCAGCCAGAGTCAGATTCTGTTGCCTGCTTCCAAAGCAAGAACTTTAATGATATACAGACAACTGTAAATATAGGGTATTTACTAGGCTGCTCTTTCATAAGAGAGGGCAAAGGAAGGAAGGACAATGTTATCTACCAAAAATATGATATATATGAGATGAAGACTGCACATAACGAAAAGATAAGGGAATCAGGGTTTCCTATTAAAATTTGATAATAAGTACACTTATTCAAGCTAAGTGTACTTAAAATGGCTCCTTCAACAGCATATTCAGGAACAGAAGTCAATAGGGAATTTTTATTGATCCATTTGCTGCAAAGATTAATTTCAGAAATTCTCAAAAGCCTTTGGATTTGTGGACGAATTCCAATGTGTAGTAAGATCTCAAGCTAAATTCATTTTTTAAAAAACTCTTCAGATCCCATCTGTTTCATCCTCGTAAAGTAGTTGCCAAAGTAAGACACACTAAAACCTGACATTCTGAGGCTGGGCTTGATTTATAAAACGTTTTCTAAAACATTTCTAATTCAGAATGGATGATTTTATTTTTTCACATGAAATAATAATACTAATATCATAAACTTGATGAGAAAATGAATATCAAAGTCAGAAAAAACGATTTGCAAAAGTCAAATCTTGGCTACCAAAATCAGACTTCCTCTCTGAGCAGATCCCCTATGTCTGTACCCAGGATCACCTTGTAGACCTAGGACACGCTGAAGGCCTGACCAGGAGGAGCATACTCTCTAGCTCACATGGGAAAGAAACTCTTGATATTTGTGTTACACACACACACACACACACACACACACACACACACACCAGGTCCAGAGCTAGAAACTTTACACAACAATACAACAATGAAATTGTCCAGCTTCATCCACACACACACACACACACACACACACACACCAGGTCCAGAGCTAGAAACTTTACACAACAATACAACAATGAAATTGTCCAGCTTCATCCTAATTCAAACCTGCAGAACATTTCCCGATTTACAGCAAGGAAACTGAAGCTAAAATTGCACAGTTAAGAAGGATATCAGCAAGATTAACAGATGAATTCATCTGACTCCAAGTCGCAAGCATTTTACTCACACATCTCT